TAGGGTTTGGGAAAATATCTGTGACTGTGACTCCCTGCTTGCTGGGAGTTGAACAGTCAGAAGTAGAATCATAAAATCATGGAATATCCTGAGTTGAAGGAAACCCACCAGGATCATCGAGTCCAACTCCTGACTCCACACTGCACCACCCAAATCCAATCCCTGTTTCTGAGAGCAGTGTCCAAACGCTCCTTGCACTCCGGCACCCGGGGCCGTGCCCACAGCCCTGGGCAGGCTGTTCCATGCCCAGCGCCCTGTGGTGCAGCCCCTGTCCCTGACCCCCAGCTGCCCTCCCCTGACAGCTCCATGCCGTTCCCTCAGGCCCTGTCGCTGTCACACAGAGCAGAGCTCAGCGCTGCCCCTCTGCTCCCTGTGAGGAGCTACAGCTGCCATCAGGCCCTCCTGTCAGCTCCTTTGCTCTGGGCTGAGCACACTGCTGGACCCCAGCCGCTCCTCACACACCTTGCCCTCCAGACCCTTCACCATCTTCATAGCCCTCCTTTGGACGCTCCCTCTTACTGTTATGTCCTTTTTGTATTGTGGTCAGGCTGTAAACCAGCTTGTTTCTATAGCGTGTTACGTAGTTAGATCAGTTGGCATTGGAGTTCAGCTGTGCACTAGTGCACATCTCTAGGGGATGTTTCTTCCTTAATTTTATTGAAAAAAAAGTTGTTAAAAGATGCAGAGACTTTTGGAGGGAAGTTCTGACAAGCACAGCAGCCTGGGAATGGTGGCTTGCTCTGACTACTGTCTCTGCGTGGGTTCGCAACCCTGCCACTGATGGGGCGGCCCTCAAAAGCTGGGAGCAGCTTCATTTTGCAGGCTGTCAGCAATGCATGCAGCCCAGAGCAGGGGTCAGAAAGGCGCTAACACCCTCTGCTCCCATCTGTTGTTGTTCTGTCCCATCTTTTCCTGTTCACTTTGCTTCAGTGTTTGTCACCAGGGAAGCCTGAATGCATAAAAGAGAACCACAATTGAGACTGGCATTGAAGTAATAAATTTAACTTTGAAATAAACGATACCTGTGGGTAATAGGTTTGAAATTGCTGTGTTCCTTGGTAACAGGATATAATTACAAGTACCACAAGATCTGCAGGGCAAAGGTGCAATTATCCCCCTCATTTCAAAGTTTCAGTGAAAGCATTACTACAATGTTGCCACAATTCAGTAACATGGAACAGTGAACTTATTGGGAAGATAACAGTGGTTGAGCACACGCTTCTTAGTGATCTCTCCGCACTGGAGCCCTCCACCCAACAATCTTGAAAATGCACAATATGCTGTGATAAAATCCACCCAGCCACAGTGCATCGCAGTTGCTGTGAGATTGCTGAAGGGTTCCCTTAGTAACTGCCAGGGAATGCTCGATGAGTGATGGAAGCGCTTTATACCAGCGGGCAGGTCATCATTTGTTACCGCGCCATCCTACAGTAATTAAAGGCTATTGAATGATATTTCTACACTGTAACCGTGGGGGGGTGGGGGCTGCCTTTGTGTCCCTACTTACAGTTGCTCAGTAATTACAGAGTAATGACTGATAGCATTCCTGTGTTTCACTGGGCTGCTTATTGTGTAGGGTTGTTCTCTAGGAGTCTGGGGGTGATGCCCTGAATGCAGCTACTTCTAACAGCAATCCATCTGCATACAGCTTTATTGTTCCACCTCCTTAGGGGCTGGCAGCAAGAAGGTGATTGTGCCAAGATCCACATGGACTGAGGATATCAGAGTTAGGGGTGTTGCTGATGGATACGGTATTCAACTGATAAGCGGGATATAGCTCTAAGGGGAAATGCTGTATTTCCAGTGGGTTGCTGTCTGTCTGTCTGTTCATTCACTTGGATATTGATCAGTAACCCAGGTTTGGGATGGATTTTTGTTCTAGTCCAAGGTTAGCTAGACAGCCATCATATAATCATTTGAGTTGGAATGGGCCCTTGAAGGTCATGTAGTCCAACTCCTCTGCAATGAACAGGCTAGATCAGACTGCTCAGAGCCCTGTCCAGCCTGACCTTGAATGCCGCTAGGGATGGAGCATCCACCACCTCTCTGGGCAGCCTGTTTGAATTCTTCACTATCACTGGGCACGTAACTTGAGGCACAACACCCCCATGGTCTCAAGGGGCCTTCCTGGAGTTGTACTGCTGCAGAATAACGCTGTAGGTGTAACTATACAGCTTGGTTTAAACCTTTGCTCACAATGCAGAAATAGGGCTCTGGGAGCTATTAAAACTCGAGTAGAGTTCATGCATGGTGCTCCAAAGCTAGTGGCTGAGCACAGTGGGAGCTGTAAGTCAGCCCCACCCATTCCAAAGCAGTGAGTCACATAGGGACCTATGTGACCTATCCATGTGCCACCCAGGTATGACATACACTACCACAGTGGCTCCACAGTGTCTGTCAGGACAGTGATGGGACAGGGCAGGAGCATGTGGGTCTGGCAAGGAGAGAGACCCAAGACACTTTCCACTGCAGCTTTTCCTGGCACCACTCATCCCAGAGGATGAAATTCCCCAGCTGCCTCAAGGTGGCTTTGGTGGAAAGTGTGGCTCCCTAGAGTCCTACAAGGTGTGCAAAGTGAAGGTGCTGTGACTCGGTGAGTGAAGGTCCTGAATAAGCCTGGGGCCACCAGCATCCCCTGTTCAGTGCCTCCCTGAGAGCCATAGGCATGGGGCTGGAGAGGACAGAGCTCCTTTGTCATGCTGGGCTTGTATTTCCTAGGGAGCGAAAGTGGGAGCAGCTGAAATGCTGGAAGTGGTATAGCAATAAGAGTCCAGGGTAACAAGAGGTACTATTTAAAATTAGCAAGGAGCATTTTTATGCCAACTGTAGTCCTTTCTAGAGTAGCGTTTGAAAATATAGCCTTGGCTTGCCTCTCCACATCCTTGCTAATCCTTGTAACCCTGCCCTGCATTGCTTGCTTGTTTGTAGGTACAAGCTGCTTGTGACTTTTCCTTGTAGCATCCAGATTTGGCTATTTTTTGAAAAGATAGATTGGATCGTCCAGTGTGCTGGCCATTCATAACCTTGGGGACTTTGTGAAGCCAAGAGAAATAAAGCCACAAGCTGCAGTGCAGAGGCTCTGGGACTGCTGCAGTTCTTGCTCTGCTGGGGAGTATTTGGGAAGAAAACTCCAATTACAAAGCCACAAGGAGAACTGCTTGTCACATCCAAGCCTGTTTCTCCTTTTGGAGGCTGCTGCAGCGCTGCCAGACTCACTTCTCCCGTGTGTGAGCCTGACTGTCTCTGTTGCTGGGAGTGATGATGGTGGTTTCTTTCTTTTCTTTCTTTTTTATTAAAAAATGTAACATTTGGGTCTTTGAAATTGAAATGGATTTCAGTCTTATATTAATTATTGATAAATGGAGCCTCAGAGATGGAGATGAAGCCTGGCATGATTAAAGACAGACAGTTTTTAATTTTATGTCTCTCACAGTGACAGAGGAATCCAGTTTAATAGGAGTCATTTATTAAAAGGAACTTAATCACAAGCATGCAAGTAATTGGGAGTGAGATAGCAGGGGAAATGGGGGGAAAGAGGTGTGCATCGGTGCAGGGGGGCAGTCAGTAGGGGTGGGGATGATCCTGTGGTGTATAGAGGCCCTTTTCAAGTCTCAACTCGTGTGGGGAACACAAGAGGAAGCCACAGAGCCTGAGTGCAAAGGCAAGGGAGCCACGATCTGGCAAAACAAAGTAGTGGTGAAGCTGCTGAACCCGAGGCTCGAGATGACATCTGAACAACATTAAGAAGGCCTTGCCATTTACAAGGACCTGCTGCCCTGCCTGAATGCAGAATGAAAATGACAATTTTCTCCTCCAAAACTTTACAGGCTAATTAAAAGGCATGACACAAAAAAATGGATAAAGAAAGACAAGGAGATTATATTTTCCTCTGAATGTGGGAGTAAAAGTGTTACTCTCCCTGTCAGGCTTACTGAAAGGCGTGTAGGTAGTTGGTATGCATTTTTGTGATGCTGCTCTGTAAGAATGCCACTTCAGGAAGCCTGCAGTGATTGGGCCCCTCCTTGTTCTCTGGCTGCACTGCCCACTGGCTAGCAGGTGGTGAGGATGCTGCTGCTTTAATGTTTATTCATTTCTCAGTTTGGATGTTACTTGGATTGACTGCATTATCAGTCTGCAGTCCCTTTTGCAATGGCATTGTCTGAGCTGTAAGCTAGGGGGATTGTGTGTGGTGAGCACCATCAGCACCATCAACTGCTGCTGCCTGGTGAACTAGAGAAACCGTGGGTGGTTGTACCTCACTCCAGCAGTTCCGATACTTGGTTCCCACACTTGGTTCCCACACTTTCATCTTAGCATCATTTTGTTGCTTTTTCTGTAATGGACGTTGCTAAATTTATAACTCTTTGCTGTGCAAATCTGACTTTGCTGTATTTAGTGTAGCCTGGGATGGGGATGCAGCGTTATTAAACCGTACTGCAAAAAAAAATAAAACAGGGTAAAATACTGGGCAGCTTCTTGTCAGGCAAAAGCTGGGCAAACTCAAAGGGACCATTGTAAAATTTTTGCCTGAATTGCTAGCTCTTTTTGTGAGAGCTTAGTATGAAGACTAGCATTTTTGAAGTGCTGTTTTACTGTTACTTTTGTCTTGGGATAGTCTTGGTAGTAGAGATGGGGATTGCAGTGTTCAAAATGACAGGAACAAATGTGTCCACCATCTTTTGTGGCTAATGAGATTTTTATGTGGATTAAGTAGAAGCACACAAGCAGTGGAGGACAAGAAAATGAATTGATGTAACACTGATATTCATTGAAGGATGGAAAGAGAATGGAGCATTGATTTAGAGAGTTTTCCACATCATGTTTTTTCTCACTATCATACAAGTCTCATTGAGGAAAAGGAGAGTTATGTATGCCGTAGAGGAATGTTGATGGCCTTAAGAATATGAGATTTAGGGGGTGTAGTGGAAATGCTAAGTCATGGTTTGAAGTGATTGAGCACCTGGAGGGAAGGCAGGGCCAACCCACTGGAGCTCAGGTGCATGCACTCAGTGGACTTGATTAACTGCAAGCTGTGAAGCCAGGATCCACCCCTTCTCAGACCTCATTTAAGGGTTGGCAGTGGAGGTGAGGGTTTCTCGTTGGAGATCCCTGCCTACCTGAGGCCTTCTGGGCGTAAGTAGAGTTTCTTCCTTTGTTTCTGCATCCATGGCTTATGCATTTGGGCTTGTCCCAGGCTGCAACCTGGGGTTTTGCTAGTCTGCTATCACTGCTGTGCTTTCCATCATGTTATAGCATTATCGGGGGCTGGGGTGGGGCTCTCGGGTAAAAGGCTATGGATTGAGGGGAAGGAGCAGTAGGAATGCTGGTGACCAATTTAAGGAGATTTCCCATTTGTTCTCCTTTTCTCTGTTCCTGTCTACTACGTTTTCATGGAAGCCATATGGTATTCCATACTTTTAACAAAATTGATATGATATACCTGAGAGGATTTTGGACTTCATTGTCCCTTTGGTTTCTTCTGATGAGAAGATCTTTCAGTTCTCCACATCACAATATTTTTTCATATTAAAAAGCAAATGCTGGTTTGGACCATTCTTGTTTTTTTCCAATTCAGGAAAAGAGATTGGGGAGAGCATGGAAAGTTGACTTATTAGTCCCTTTTTTTTGTTGTTGTTGTTGAAATAAGCACTGGTTTTCAGAGTAATGCCTAGTACTCTTTTCAGGGGTGTTACAGGAACCCAGTCCTTCCTGGACTTGTCTGTATAGCTTCTGACACATTTGCCATGTGGAGCTTTGCTCTTTTTGTTCAGGTGGATTCTTGAGCCACTCTTCCATACCTATCAGGATATAGCTTCCTAGCTCTTCTGTAGCATGTGCATACAGGAAGAAACACTTCTCATCAGGGTAGCTGTTTACATCCAAGATAAAAGAAAACATCTTGCTCTGTCCTTTTCATCATTCTTCCTCTTTGTTCTTTGGTCTCAGCTTAGCTGTAAGTTAGAAACACTGCAAAGCTGTACTTGGCGAAGACGAAGAGCGTAGCACCTAATGATCAAATGCTAGGTGTTCAGAGCCACACTTGTAGATAGGCTTCTGACCAGGCTGCCTGAGGCCTTCATGGAAAGCTGGTCTGGCTGAGAGGGTAAGGGTTTAGCATCAGTCATGCTGTCCTTTGAACGTGATAAAGTCTTCAGCCATTTCCCTAGGGCACTAATGCAAAAGATTATAAAGCAGCTCTATAATTTTTGTCTATTCAGAATTTAAACTACTATCAATCATCTCAAGTTTTTAGTGTCAAATAAGATAATGTAGCCAACTATATTATTAGAAAGAGATGTGTTTCTGAAGCAGTGAATGTCTGTGGGTGTGTCTGAATAGCGCTTAACTAGATACGCAGTCTCTCTTCAACAGTGCTATTTAAAAAGAGCTTCTGCTTGTGGAGGTGGACTCTGACTCAGGGAAGCCATGCTGAGGGATGTGGCCATCTACTACTTCCTTTGTAGCTTGAATGTTTGGTAGGGAGGCTGATAACAAAAGAAGGATATAATATCACACAGTCTGAAAGTAACTTTTCTATTGCCTTTACGTAAAATAGCTCTGGGGCTGAAGAAACTTGGTTGAGAGGCGGTCTGGAAAAGATCTGATTTGCTCTATCTGATGGTCACTCCCTCTTTTGTTTTGTACTCTTTAAAAAGGAGTTTTTGTGCTCATGTAGATGCTGGAATGACTGATTTAGATGTGGATAGCTTGGTGCATATAAGCAGCAATAGCCTGGGCAGCTGGAAAGCAAGCATAGTGACGCAACTCTATTGTAATCCTTGATAGAGTCTTTCCTGAGCTGGAGAAGTAATGAGTTGGAGTTCTGGTCCCTCTGTGGAAGCTGGGGAGGAGATGTGAGAGTAGAAATAAAAGGAAGGAGGGAAGGCACATTGTGCTGAGGAGGTACTTTGGGGAGAAAGAGTACCAGGGAAAGCTGTGGCCCACAGGTAACCTAAAATAGAACTGGGACACCCCTCAGATGCCACAGTGGTGGGTGGCCCATACCCTACAGGAACACCTACGGCAGCCTGCAAAGGACTTAGGCTGGAGCAGAGGAAAGAAGCAAAAAAGAAGGAAGCAGAGGAAGGAAGGGATGGGGGGGAGAAAATCAAGGAGCAGCAGTAAGAAATCGCAGCATAGTGCCCCAACCTCTTGTACCGCCCATTGCTTCACCCAAGGAACTGATGAGACTGAGTGCAAAATATGGCCAAAAACAGGAGGACAAATTAGCTGAGGTGAGGTGGCAGGTGATATGTTAGACTGAAGTTGAGCCTGGGGAACTGGAAAGAAGTAGTGTACCTAAGTGTTTAATTATTTATCATCTTTGTTTTTGCAGTGTCTCCTTCAGTAAATAAAAGTTTATGTTAATTGGCAATAAATCAAATTAAGTGAAATTCCCAAAGTTAAGACTGTTTTGCCCATGACACTTTAGAACTTACTCTTGCAAAAAACTGTTGTATCTCCCTCACAGTTATTTATAATCCCTTTCATCTGATGATTTGCCTTAATTTTAATAAGCAATAAGGTAGATTTTTCATTTTCAGAAGGCTATAACATTATGCCTCCCTAGAAAGTTGTAGAGGCTCCAAGCATGCTCTGTTGTGGTTCTTTTTTTCCTTTATTAGCCCAGTGCAATCAAAACAAGCCTACAAAGCTAATGTTGGGAAAGAGCTGAGGAAAAAGTTTATTGGCTTCCTTGATATTGTTGTTTCTTAACCAAATAAAATCCTGACTTGATTGTCCATGAACTCTCATAATGCCTTTGTACAAGAGTGTTCAGAGGACAAAAAGGAGGGCTCATCATTTCTTGTACTGGCAAGTGACTTTAAGATAGTGACTGCACTCATCATGCATTATAGAATAATGAGAAGAGATACTTGTATTGATCTCTTAACAGAGAAGGCACAACGAGCCATAAAAATGATGTATGGATTGTTTCACGTCACTGAAATGCAGCCATCTCAGGTGCAGGGCCTGCTAGCTACTAATGCATGCAGAGGTTTGGGGTAATGAAGGATACTGAGGAAGTGACAAGTGGCTGTGTCACTGTGCTCTGATCTCCATGCTGGGTTTTTCCATATGGCATTGAACACTCCTTACCCAGGGTTTTCAATCACATTTGAATTGTGCTCAGGGCGAGGCCTGGCTTACTTACAAGAAGAAGGATGAAGGGAAGAGTATGCAGATGGTTGGTACTTTCAGTTTTATTCCCTTCCACCAGCAGGCAGTGAAGAGATATCAGTCTTACGTGCGAATTTACTTGGTTGCTTTGAGGCTTTTGTTTTAGTATTGTAAAATTCTCCACGTGGGTTCAATTCTTCTCACTGCCCTTGCACTCAATAGCCAAACTCCTGCTCTAGAGAAAACAGTGACTGGTGGTACCTTAGAAAAAGCTCCTTTGTTTTCTTCTGGAGTTTTTGTTTTTCTTTTTAAAAGCTCTGAATAGACAGATTCATTTCCAGCTATTATAGTAATAATGACCTTTGCACTAGAAAAATAATGATAGCCATAAGGGTCTCCAGCCAGGCTATTGTGGGACCCCCAGTGCTGGAGGCCAGGCATCTGGCCCAAAAATTACATGTCAAAATATAATTGGCTTCAGCAACAAAGAGAGGGAGCAGAAGGAAGAAAGGGGAAGTCAGCAGGTCGAATAGTGAGGTTGCAGGTGTTTGTGTCTAAATGGCCTCCCAATGTACCATTTTGCTCCTATAATGGCACAGGATTAGGAGAGGAGAATAACTGAGGTCTTATCAAATGTGCAAGCGAACAGCATAGCCCATCCATAGTCCCCTCCTTCAGACTAAATTTTAAAGGACTTTAAGGATTTGGAAAACCAGATTTAGCAGCTGGAAATCATTCTCTCCCTCCCCTCGTTCTCCGTCCCCTTTTCCATTGCCCCCTCCATTTCCTATTTCTGTTTCATTCAGTAATTAACCTTCAGAATAATCTTCCAGAACTGGCTAAGCTGTTCTTCTGTTTCCCTATTGTTGTATCCTTAAGACATAAGCAAGTCCAAATGTTGTGAATTACTGATGGGTTCTACTATCTGGAAGGCAGATGAGCTTAGCAGGGGGAAGGAGTAACGGAGGGGAAGAGGGTGAAGTGTCTTCTGCTGGTAGGGAGGAGAAGTTGGGCTTTGGGATTTTTTTGGTTACATCTAGTGTTGCTCTTTTTAGGTGGTTGTCCTCTTGGGCTCTGCAGAACGAGAGCCAAATGTGTTGTTGCCTTTTGAAAGTCAGCAGCATCACAATCAGTGTGAGCAGAGGAAGGCTGTTTTCCCCCCCTCACTTTCTCATCCTATATATTGGAAACTGTTATTTTTTTCCATCCGTATTCATGTTTTATTCTCTACTGTTCATTGCACTCTCTTTTTTTGCTATCAGTTGCTCCCAGTTGTCATCAGTCCACTCAATTTCGAAGAAGGCAAGCCCTTGGCAGGCAGTGTGTTATAAAACAAGGTCTCTCTCCTTACCTTTCTGTTCAGTAACTTATCTGGGTGCAGACTATGATTTTACACTAGATTTTGCACTAATTTGTTCATTTTTGTCAGTTGTTAGATGAGTAGTTTGTGTGACTGAATTTTTAGCCCCTGGTTTATTTGAGAATTAGGTTTTTCTGAGTATCTGTTCCTAATTTTCCATGTCATTTGATGGATCATGGATGCCACATGACATTATTCTTGTTCCTAGATCGGTGAATCAGAGTTTGCTACAAGTTACATCCTTTAGCCTGTTGACAAGCTATCTATGAATATTTATAAGTATTCAGTGACTCTGATATTCACATAGCACAGAGGGCTGTTCAAAATATATGCAAGGACACTTCTGAATAGTATGTGTACATTGAGATATAACTGGGATCAGAATGTGCACGAATATTTTAGCATTATCTGCTTTTCTATCTCTGAACAAGCATCTTTATCCTTTCTTTCTTTGAATATGATTTTCTTGCAGCTTATTGGAGAGAAAAAAAATGATCCTAAGCCTGTCTTAGAAATGAAGCACCCAACTTTACTCCTTCTCACTGAGTCATTTGGTTCTTGTTTCCATTCAGTGAGGTTTTTCTCTTGAGGTGGGTAGAGTGGCTGTGTTGATTGGTGATGGAGAAGTCAAAAAGACAGCAAGAATGTGCATAAATATTATTTGGGAACAGCTGTCTTGTTGACCCTAGTAACAGTGTTCACATTGCCTCAATTTGAACTGTAGGCAAAAATACTGAGCTGGTACAATGTGTTGCAGTACTTCCTTGCGTAAATGAATAGAAAATCATGTAGCCAGAAGTCCTCATGTTGATGAGCTTGCTCAGCTGTCTATGGGCTGAGTCAGAGTTGTGTACAGGCTAGGATCTCAGCTTGCTGATACGAGTCTATAGCCCACATAGCTGATGTTCCTTCTCCAAAGAATCTTGACTCTAATATGTTACTCCTTTCTGCTTTGGGCTATTGACTTCAATAATTTTAGATCAGCCTCCACTGAAAATAAGATTTTGAAGTAAAATAAATATAGGAGTTGCTTCAGTGTTTTCTGGGATGTGAGCCTTTGGTTTTTGGTATTTTTTTTTTTTTTGTTTCATTCTGCTTAAAAATATTAATGAAGCATTACATGAAACATTCATCTTTATGGAGCAGTATCAATGTTTGCATCTTTTCTGTGCAGCAGCTAATACCAGAAGTCACTTAATTAAAAATGAAATGGTGAATTATAATGGCAGGGCAGGAGCAGGCTCGAGTTGGAAGCCTACCGAGTATTGGATTTTCAGTTGAGTTGAGTGATGCTTGTAGCTTTGCCACTAAGTTCTACGATTCTGTGTTTAAAAAGTTGTGAGAAATTTAATGGAAGCACCTTGAAACTCCCTGGAGCAAAACAGACTTCAGCTCTCTGTGTGTGCAGTGACCTAGCACTGTGGATCCTTGGCCTATAACGGCATGTACCTTGAAGAACTAGATGGTTAGTAAAGATGAAGAAAAGGATCTTGCAAAGCACTTGTTTTTGCTGCATACAAAATAACCCAGGGAAATAAGCCCCCTTCGCATTATAGAGCCAATTCAGGACTAATTTATTATATTTACTTTTAATGGCTCCCTTCTGACAGCTAATACAAGTATTCCACGTAATCCTTAAGATCTGTCTGATATTCTCACAGCCAAATATGAGAGCAGTGGTATTTTCTAGTTCCCCAAGTGATCATCTTCTGATGTGCTCATCTTAAATGAGAATGTGAGTTCTTTGGGGCAGGAAGCTATATTTTTGTTTCAAGCACACCCATAACTGCTTAAAATAACCCTGTTCTTACTGTCAGCTGAAAAGTTGCTCCTTTCTGATCCAAGAGGCTGTCGCTGCAAGGAACTAGATATGCTTTTTTCTTGGTATCTGATGAAGACTTTTGTCATTTCTGAACTAAATTTTCAAGAAAGATGGCAAGGAAAACCCACGCAATTACAGGGTGGAACTACTGCCCAGGAGCTACAATCCAAGACTGGGCACAGCCAGAGGGTTGTGGTTAACAGCTCTATGGCCAGGTGGAGGATGGTCAGGAGTAGTGTGCCCTAGGGCACTGTCTTGGAACTCTTCTATGAAGAAAGGTCGAGAGAGCTGGGCATGTTCACCTTGGAAAAGAGAAGGCTCAAGGGAGACCTCACTGTGGTCTTCTAGTACTTGTGAGGACATTATGAAAATTAGCCTCCCTCCTGTTTATATAATCTGGTAGTGATAGAACAACAGGGAATGGCTAATCTAAATGGCAATTTAGATTACTTATTAGGAGGAAATTCTTTAATCAGAGGGTGATGAGACTGCCGCAGGCTGCCCGGAGAAGCTGTGGATGTGCCATCTCTGGAGGCATCCAGGGCCAAATTTGGTGGGGCACTGAAGTCTGATCTGGTAGGTGGGCTCTGTTCATAACAAGGAGTTTGGAATTAGATAGGTCCCTTCCAACCTAAGCCATTTGATAATTCTCTGCTCTGATCTTGTTTGCTCATTTCTTAATTTTGTTTCTTTTCTTTTATAGGTAAGTCTTAGGGCTTTTTAATCATCTCCTGATTGTCCTGAAAGTAATGGTAAGTTACTTAATTTTATTTAAATACTTTTACATAAGTATCCTTTCATATATGCTTTCACTAAGTAATTTGGATTGATGACAAAAATGCTGTGGTGTGTATGAAGATATTGAAGGGAAAAGATAGATATGCACTTCTGAGTCTTTAGTCATTGTTAAATATCTTGATGCTATTTGAGAGTAGCTGTGGTAAATACCAGTATTTCACTGTAACTGATGATTATTAATAGTTACAAAATATCACAGCATCATGTAATCCAAATGTATAACCAACACTGCTTCTATGATGAGTATGGGAAACAGCAACCAATGTGTGTACTGGAGTTGGTTATATCCAGGAATCTTAAGATTTTGCTGAGTGTTATATTAAGAAGACCTTTGTACTGCAACGCCTTCCTTTCTCGTTGTGTTGGAATGCACGCTGTGCAATGATAGAACTTTCTCGAGTGACAAGGAAGGCTAGTATGTTCTTATGGGATAGGACATTAGCAGAGTCCATCGATTTCCAAAGGAAGTTTTCTCTGTTTATCAGAAACTTACTGTATTCTATGACACTTGACCTTTACTGTAATGTGACAGCTGAGTTCTGTTGAAGTTCTGGGAAGTCAGAGTAAAAACATCCAGACTAAAATGCAGTCTGGAAGAGGCTGCTAGCATGTATCCTGCTCAGATCAACCTATTGACTCAAAGTGGGTGGTGGGATTTAGGGGAATGGGCATCTCAGCTGGTGTCAAGATATGTGGTCTACTGAGCTAAGTAGACAAGCTGTTTCCTTAGAAGGAACTTCTGATCCATATCTTAAGCCTTGTTCAGACTAAAGTACCCAGAGTGGCACACTTCCAGAATTGCTTGCTGGTTTTTTCTCAGTAAAAGTCTTCATTTCACAGGTAAACCTTATGGCTCTGCCTCACACTATCTGCCTAATGTGATAAAATGAGTAAATGAAATGTCTCAAATGTTGATACTGTGCTTGGATTAAATGAAGAAAACTAAGTTGGTTAAGTCTGTACAAATAAGAGATTAGTTTTGATGGTCAGCTGCTATACTTAAGCTCCTTCCATTCTTGCTAACAATTTTACATGCACTGGTTGCAATGGTTTTTCCAAAAGTCAATGTGGAATTAATTAAAACAGCAAATAGTTAATTGGCATGTTGGCAGTGGGAAGATGCTTATAGTCCAGATGTGGTCTGTCAATATCACTACAGCTTTGTACTTGAAGAATCTCTCTCTTACTCAGGCATACAGTTTATTTAGTGGTTGAGGAGGGTAGAAGGACACTAGAGTTATCCAGATCCTGTACAAAAATGTGCTGTGGTTTTGATTACTGTTGATGTGGAGCAGCAGGTAGTCCATGGATTCTGGGTTAGAGCTGGTGCTGAAGTTGATAGCAGAGCTTTCTCTTTTTTTCACTCTTGTCTGTCTGCAGTGTGCCATGGTCTGTGATCCTCAGTCACACAGAAAGGAGTAAGCAAAACTGTGCAAAGTTTGTCATCTATCCTAGTATTTCAAGCTCCATTAGAATCAGAAAGGTTAGACACATTGTTTTCAATATGGCACAGGACAAAACTATGCTGTGTGACTACAAAGAGGGAGTAAATCAAAGTGCCTAAAATGACATTAAAGAGTAGGGACAAAACTCTCAAAAGTACCTCAGCTGCTCACGAGCTTGTCTTCCTGAAAAATCAAAGGAGTTGGGGAGCTGAGTTCTTTTAAAAAGTGGAACTTGTTTTTGAAAGCTACTTTTGAAGACACATGCTTTGCATTTGCAAACTTGTTTGTTCCACATCTAGGGAACACGCTTATTAAAATCAGTTACCAGGATGTTCAGGGTACTGTGGTTTCTTAACACAGTGTCCTCTGATCAAGAGAAAAGCTTTTCAGCAACTGGTGCAGGGTAACCACCATATGGCGGAGTGTTGTGGGCTGGTTTATTATGGTGTAGGGTAAAGTGGAAACCTGTAGATTATGTGGTCTGTCTCTCATTCCTTGTGAAGTTCATCTTAAAACTGCAATGCATTAGTGACTTTCCACTAATGCTGAAGTTGGACATCCCTCTGTGATCTCACTGTGCTGAAAAGCTCACGTTGCTTTGTTTCTTTTTTAAACTCCTGGTTTAAGTGTATTCATGGTCAGTAAACATCCATATGTTCTAATGTCAACATGATCTCTTAGTTTAAAGAGCTCTTTTTCTTCCCTGGTGCTTACCCATCTGATGAATTTACAGCCTGTAATCACACAGCCTTATATCTCTTGCTGTCTTTTCTATCCTGTCTTCCTACACATTCAGACAGGGAATGGAAGGAAGAGTTTCCAAAATGATCTGCTGGGCTGATGTAGCACCATCTTGATGGGAGCCTCGATGCAGCTGAACAAACCTTCACCTCAAACAGCCTAATGTATTGACTTTATACGGGAGAACAGGGCTATAAAAATTGCAACCCTGTATTGCTTCAACAGTGCTCCAGTGGTGAAGATGGATATCAGCCTAAGCAATATAAAGGACTCCAAATCTGCTTAGTGGCATCTGATGGCATATTTAGTGTTAGTACTCAGATGGGCTTCACTACAATGTTTTTTGAACACATCTGCTAGTCTGTGAGCTTTCTTTATTAATGAACCACAAAGAGGCACTGGGAATGAATGTATAGTTACAAGTGATTGGTCTGCAAATATTTTTTTCTCCTTGTCTTTCAAATTACCTGCTTAGTATTTTAGGGATTGCAACTTAGTGGGAGTGATATGCCTAAAGGCTGTCTGAGCGTCTGGAAATCTCCTTCATAAAGCAATTCTCTGGTCAAGCTTTCAGTGCATTTTATATGGGAGAGTTCTGTTGATGCCTATTCAGAGGCTGTCATGTGCTTTATGACTATATATTGATGCCTGATATGAAGACAGAGTCCAAAGAATTTGCAAAACATGGCACCTTGCTGTGTCTTTAATGAGCTCGTGAATCTTCATCATTGATATCCTAACCTGTCTTGTATCTTTTAAATAAATTTTTCTAAACAGTTCTTAGGCAAGGTTTGAGTTAGGACTGTGGGTTTTACTGAATTTCCGTTTTCACTGTTGTACTTCTCTACTTTTGAGGATATCATTGTGTTGTGCATAGCTGGTTGTATTCCCAAGACTCAAGGAAACTATTTCCTGGCTGTCAGGATGAACAAATGGCTCCTGTAATACCTTCGATCATTTTCTTATTTACAGACAATTTTATTTGTTTTACACTACCTGAATTGCCTTTGTAGGTCTTCCAAATGACACCAGCATTCAAACACATCTCTAGTATTCATCTGTTCTGTTTAAGTCCCTGTTGCTTGCTCCTTATGTTCTTTTCTATGAAATTTGTATGAGCCTATATAGGCATGACTTCACAAACAGAAAAATAATTTTCAGAACTGATTTTGTGGGGAAGTGGTAGTCCTGAAACAGGAATAGCATGACTGTAGTAATAAGCCAAATGCTGCTGTGCGGAACTTTACCCCTCACAGAGTTGTCCTTATGGGAGACACCAGAACACATGGTGGCTAGTTTAGTTAAGAGCAGAGGTAAAGATGCGACGTTAGCTATTCGTGCCAAGTATTTCTCAGAAGAGTAGATTAGGCAGTTGATGCTCAGTGTGTGATATAGATTTACTACGATTAATTTGTGAAGTCTTTTGCCAGACATCGCTGATGCCTGCTAAGCTGTTTCTTGCAGAAGCCAGGTGGGCAGTTGGCAAGAGCTGCTCATTAGCAGCAGTAAATGCCAGTTCAGATTGTGTTGCATACAAGCTACCAACCACCTCAGTGACAAAAGAGCAGTGCTGCTGTTTGCATAGAGGTCCATGGTTCCATGGGCCTCAGGTCTGCATGCTATTTCAGTGCTCCTTGATGCCACACTTTTTTTTTTTTTTTTTTTTTTTTGGAAGCTACACAGAGTGGTAAGGTCTTGCTAAGGAAACAGCATCAGTGAGCATGGCTGAAGATTCATCTTGGTACTTAAGACAAAACATCCTGATGTTTTGTCTAAAGAGTGCCAAAAAAAAAAAAAAGTGCAGAATAGTGCAAGAGTGCAGAAAATGACCTAAAGGTTTTGCTGACACATTTTTACAGCTTTCTCACAAACAAGGTAATGTAAGGTTGTTGGAAATATCCAAATAATTTTTGTCAGGACGGTATCTCTGATAAAAGCAGACTTTATTCGTGATTGCAATGGCGGGTGTCCCACAAGCAGGAGCGCCCCTAAGGACGCAGTGACAGCTTTCTGTACCTTGTATCCCCCTTTGCCCATCCCCTGCCCCGTTTCCCTGTTGGCTGGGTACACCAGGTTCACAATCTTATCAAAGTTTGCGTTTGTTAATTGGTGTGTTATCTGCTGTCAGTCAGCAGCCATCCTGTTGTTTCCAAGATGTCTCGGTGCTCTTCTTGTCGTATTGATATGGTGATTTTCTTCAAGGTCTTCATTAAATGAAGAGGACTGTGGGCAAGCACATGATGCCAGGCCTTCCGATGCTCTTCTGGAGCTTCCTCGGGCATGCCATCACTTGTTATCTGGTTTGATCAATCTCATGCAGGATATGCAGTGTGTATGATAAAATATACATATATACACCTATATACAGAGCGTGCATTCCTGGGGGGAAGGTTCATCTAGAGGATAAGTGATGGAAAATATCAGAGACACTCCCCCACCACCATCCCCAAGTAAAGTAGAAAGACTCCCAAAAAGAATTAAGGACAGTGGAGACCATGAAATATAAAAAATATATATATTGTCCAATTCTAATGCAGAAACAACATTTGATTCCCACAAGGTGAATTCATATCACTGGGACAGTTTCTGCTCTAATAGGCTTGCTCAAGTATCTTTATCCCAAAAAGAGACAGAGGAGTTCTTCTTTATTATTTGAATAAAAGGAAAATCCATTGGGACATAGCCCTGTGAGGTCTCAAAATATCAGGGGACAAGCCCCTCTTTTATCCCTGTACTTCTACACTAGTAAATCCTTTCCCTTTTCCCCATTGTTTAAGGCACTCAGGGTTCACAGTATTGTCATTTTGCCTATCACTCTTTGTTCTGTCCAGCAAAAAAGATTTACATGCAGGTGCTAAGTTAGCATCTCCTGCCGTATACCTGCAAAATAAGTTTATTTAACCAGTTCTTCTCAGATCTTATTTTGCAAGGACATCCTTTCTTCCTTCATCTCGGTCTATATTTGGAATGACACCATTATATGCACAGAGTTAGGATCCATTTCACCAGTTATCTCCTACTTGTGCTCTGCAGTTCAGGTTATGCGGTCTGCAGTGGATCTCATCTTCAAAACTTCTAAGCTCTCACCTGTACTTGCTACGAAGGATGCACTGAAATCTTGACTTATAACAGTGGTCAACTGCAGAATTGCAGATGCCTGTAGCTTCTAATGTGCCCCTGGCTGCTCAAAACTCTAGGTCAAGATGCTCTGAGTGTCTTTTCCTGGTAGGTGACCATGTGAAAAGAAAGCTTGTATATCCAAGATGTTAAGTGGCTGTTATTCATTAACATCTGGCAACAGCCAGGGGATGGTGTAGCAATACCTCTCGGTTGGAAGCTCCTGCAGAAGTACCAGGGGAAAAAGAGATCAGCATCTAGCTTTTAGGATGTGCTTTATTCTCATCTCATGCCGCTCTTGTTTTCTCCTCCTGACTGTTTGTTCCTTTCTTTGTCTCACAGTGTCTGTTTGTTAAAATAATCTTTTCTTTTCCCTGCATGAGCTTCTGTCATTAGATGAAAGGTCATGGATATAATATGAATCTGCAACGATAAATGCAGTGCAAAATGGATTGAAATGCACACGGTAAAGAGGGTTTCCAATTAAAAAACACTTTGCCGAGCTTGCACCAAACAAACAGCCACACAGCCCCTGATTTCCATGCTTATAATTAGCTGCCATTGAAAGTTAATTACTTTCAGGACTGAAGTGAAAGTTAAATGCAAAAAAAGGGGGAACTTTTTCATAATGTTTCAGCATAAGCGTATAGTTGCCAACTTAAAATCTAGTTTTGTTGTTTTAAACTGCATATCAGTGATATTTCCTATAGACAAAAACAGCAAGAGTGGAGAGAGACCAGGATTTTCAGTGCTGCTTATTCTTGATGGCTTTTTTTTTTTTTTTTTTTTTTTTTTGGGCATGTTCATCAGCTGAGAAAACTGTTTGCTTTCAATAATTCTTGCTGTGCTTTCTACAGATCAAGATCCTTCAGGGTATTTTCAGGCTGGGCACCTGGAGGAGTGTCCATGCTTTCAACTCCCCCTTGATGTGAATCAGTTTCCTTGAGTGATGGTGTATATCTCCTTTGTAACAAGCTGCAAGAAGCTTAATGAAGAATAGAGTGTTGTTTCTACACAGAGGCAGTAAACTAAACTTCCAGTACAAAGAAGGTAGATGTAAGTCTCTTGTTCCCAATTCACTCAAGATTCATGAATCAAATAGACACTTCAGTCTATCGTGAATAATTAGTTATATCTATATATACACTTGGTGAAGTTTTTGCATATTTAGGGGACATGACAGGTTTTGTTAATTCCATAACTCGGGACCATGTTTGTCCTTGCAGCATAAGGAATAATATTCAAAGTGCCAAGAACGAGTGTGGAATTCTTTACCAATACAACATCTCACTAGCAGAGATAGGCAAACCATTTGGAAACTAATTTGGTGTACAATGGCTCTGTTTCCACATCATTACCTTAAGGATCCTCTTTCTCTTGCTGGCACCAAAACACAGGAATACTGATATAACTGGGAAATAAAAGTGCATGGAGAATGTATGCTGAATAAAGCATTCTCTTTACTTAAATGTCTTGCTCTATGAGGAAAGGAGCTGTAATTGATAGAGCTGATAAGCCTTCCCTTTCCATTTGTGAAAAAGAAATAGAAAAATCTATTCAGATAAAGAAAGCAAAATAGATTTCATTTAATTTTGATAATCATTGTGTGGATTTATGTGTAAAAGGAAGGCTTGGTGAAATTAAAGAAGCTGATCAACTGTAATCAACTGAATGACCTGGTGTCACTGCTCATAGTGGAAACCAAGACAGACTGCAGGCCTCTTGGAAACACTTCTCCAGCTAGAGAGAGAATGCAGGAGGTTTAGGAAAATATCAGCCACGTGAGAAGGGTCAACCCTGATAGCTTGTGAAATTTCTATATGGAGAAAGAAATGGGTTGTAATCCTAGTGCTGCTATAGTCAAAGCTTTTTCTTGATATTGCTTTGCAGAAGTGTGTGAAAGCACTTCTGGAGCATGCTTACATCTTCTGCCCTATGCTGACAATGGTATTAGCTGTGGAAGGACAAGTCAGTCATGTTGTATGGTCTCGGCACCCTTTTCCCAGGTGAAGTTTCTGGCCCTAATTCTTCATTGGAAGCTTTGGAGGAGTCAAACTATCTGTAGTCTATATCAAGCTTTTCTTCTAGCCACAGAATCAGGACTTAGCCTTAATCCTATCCTGCAGCAGAGTATGCCAACATATCTCTTGAGAAGCCAGCCTCCTCCTGAGCCAGAGGAGCACTTTGACATTCCTATGCCAGCTTTCTTGGGGAAGGTTTTTGATTGAAGCTTTTGGAGGGGCAGGAGCAAAATAGAGCAATTTCATTTCACTTGGAGTCTCCGTGGCAGCACATTACTCCTCTTCTTCCCCCTCCCACCTTGTTTTAAAAGAAAACGGGGAGGAACAATAGCAAGCAAGGCCTTCAGTGAGAGCGAGAAGTAGAAACTCATTTACAGCTGGAAAATATAGAAAGTCAGGAAACTATTGAATGATCTGTAAAAGGGGCATGGTTTGCTTATTTGCTGTTCCATTCACTGTCCTCCATGTTAATATCTAAGAAGAGAGACAGGCCATTTTCTCAGCCAAGAACAATTTACCTGTGTGCTGGCATACAGTGTAGAGCAATTTAGAAAACAAAGAAATCCCATTCCAAATTATCATTTAGCTGCTGACATCATGGGATTTTTTTTTTTTTTTTTCCTTTTCCCTCCTGTTCAGAAGTATAGGAACTAGGAGCATTCTTGCTCTCAGAACGCATCAAAGTGTGCTGTTTGCAGGGATGGAGTGCAGTGTGCCCTGAGGAGACAGGGGCCCAGCTCTGCAGAATGTATCTGGGCCCATCAAAGTTCCATGGACCTGTAGTGTACAGATATGACTCTAGGAGCAAGGACTCTAGGACTCTCCTGTCCTTTCTCTTTCTGAGTCCAGAGATTTTGATAGGGTAACTACCTGCTTTGTGGAGGATGTTGTAACCAGGATTATTCCTTGTTGTGGACCAATAGTTTTTGATCAGTGGATGAAAAAGCTGCTGCTTCCATCTGCCTGTGAATCCCTGCAAGCAAAGCAGTGACCAAGAAATCGTGTGAACACACAGTTTCCAGCTGATGATGTAAACCTGTCTTGTTTGGTCTCTGTTCAGTATCACTATAATGTGTGCATATGACTGGAGTCTGCTCAGACAACTTTCCTGGTTGTGCAGGTTACATTTCAAAGTTGTCATGTGGCAGGCAGCAAGAAACGCATCTCTCCTGAAGTTCATAGTGCTATGCAGAGATGGAGCTTCTTGAGAGTCTCCTGAGGCAGTGGTCTCAATGTTTCTGAAGCTCTGCTGGGGGACAGGGTTGAGCCTGCTGCCTCCTCT